TGCAAGAAGCCATGGATGAGAGAATGTTGGGGGTTGCCCGAGCAGGGAAAGTTGATGCCTTGTATGCACTGATTCAGGAGAATCCATCTGTGTTTGAGAGCATTGATGGATTGCCTTTTGTTGATAGTCCATTACATATAGCTGCCTCTGAAGGACATGTTGATTTTGTTATGGAAATGATGATCTTAAAGCCATCGTTTGCAAGGAAACTAAACCCATGTGGGTTCAGCCCAATGCATCTTGCCCTCCAAAATGACAGAAATTTGGTGGTACGAGAGCTCCTAAGAGTTGACAAAGATCTGGTTTGTGTCAAAGGGAAGGCTGGTTTAACCTCTTTGCATTTAGCAGTTGAAATGGGAAATCTACAGCATATAGCCGAATTTCTCAAAGCTTGCCCTGAATGCATTAAAGATGTAACTACTCAAGGCCATACTGCTCTGCACATTGCAGTCATCCACAACAACTTTGAAGCTCTCAAACTCCTGATGTTTTGGCTACTGAAATCCACCCACAAAGAAGCGGACATTTGGGAAGAACAAGTTTTTAACATGAAGGACCGAGAAGGAAACACAATCTTGCATATAGCTGCATCAAGGAATCATTACCAGGTACAATATCATCCACTTTAATTCACTTCATTCATTTTTTTTTTAGGTTAATATAATTTTCGTTTGGAAAAGGCCTTATTAACTTGAGCTTGATTGACTCCCAACAAATTGGGTCACCTACATAGAAATGGTTCAATTGAATGGCTGTGATTGTTAATCAAAGAGTATGTCTAGTCTATACTATTAGGTACATGTTAAAAATACATTTATTGGACATTTTAGATATTACTTCTGTTTTAAAATATAAATTGTTTAATTTTTTTTACACGTAATTTCAAATAATATTTTTTTATAATATACAAATGATCATTGAGATTTTTTTTTTCCTTATATGTAGTTCTTGTTAAATAATTTTATTTGATGAAAGAAAATTTTAATTATCATTTATATATTATAATAAGATATAACTTAAAACAACATATAAAAAAATCAAGCAACTTTTATTTTAAAACTAACAAAGTAATTTATATAAAAAATAAATAAGTTGACGTTAATTTTAATACTCATATCATATGAATATTTTTAATGTTAATTTTTATTTTTATTTATTTATTTATTTTTTAAACATGGAGAAATAATGAGAAATGAAAAATATTTTTAAAATGTTAGTGAGAATTGAACTTTCAATCAATTAAATTTAAATACCAATTTTGTGAATGAATCATTGGACTTGAAAAACTGATTCATATTAATTTTTGTTTTTTTAATATATAATAAGTATCATAGATATACTTTCACGACACGAATCAGAAAAGCTCTTGGTCAAATAATATGAGTGTTCTAACTTTTCTATAATTGCGAAGCAGATTGTAAAATTGTTAATAAAAAGTGCAAAGATCAAGAACGAGATAAATCTGAATCATCATTCAGCTTTGGAAATGTTAGAAGGCCAAGATGATACCAGAAAAACTGCACGCGCGCTACGCTGGGCTGGATATTTAAAAACCGAAGCCCACTTCAAACGTCAAACCGTAGCAGAGTCACTGGGATCGGAAGAAGAAATATCATGGTTGAAAAAATTACTGACGAGGCAAGTTCGTCGGGAAAACAAGAAATCAACAGATGATAAAAAGAACAATTTACTGACACTAGTTGGGACAATCTTCTTGGCAATAAACAGTCAATGAAATTTTTCCTTGTCAGTTATAGTTTATAATTTTTCTTTTAATGTTGGTCAGACTCCTTTTAATTAGATTTAATTATTTTACTTTTTATATTAGAGTGATCTGATTTACTTATCTTAATTTTTATTTTTTTCATAAAAAGTATAATTGTATTAATAATTAAAATAATTATAATGTGTATTATACTTTGCTATATAGGTTATGTAAAAAATATAAATAAGTTAAGAAAGATTTATAATACTAATATATAGAGTTAAGTGTTCTTCACAAATAAAACAATTAGAAATTGGATTCTCTATAAACATTAGTATACGATATTGGAGAATTACTATCACTATTGATAATTACATCTATTTTATCATTTAAACCTAATATAGGAGATTAAAAGACTGGATGATGCAGTGCCTCCCAACACCACTTCTATTGAGACAGATAATGCCTAGTTTGTATATGTTTTCAGGTGGGTGGCAAAAGCAAAGCCATTGCAAAAACATACGCTTCAATAATAGTCTTTTGTTTGATGTAAAACTTGATAGAAAAAATTAAAAGAAAAATATAAAGATATATGATGAAAAAAACTCTTTTTTTATTTTATTTTACTGAATATACAATGTCTTTATTTATAGGCCTATACAAGATAATATTCTATGGTATAAAATCAATTAACCTAATTATATTAATTAATTATAATATGAACCCAATCAATAAAATTATAATATGAATATTTTGTAACATTCCCCTCAAACTCAAGGTGGTGATGAAGAGATTAGCTTGAGTTTAGAAAGAAAAGTGCGGCAACGTCCAAGAAAGTGAGTTTTTGGTGAAAATATCTGCATACTGAATATGCAGATCGGTGTAGTTGACGTCGCTGGAGGAGAAGGAGACAATATCAGATTTGGGCAACAGTAATGTCCAAAGTTCAATTGCTAGAAATCAAGAGCAAAATCAACGGCAATTGGATGTGAAAAGATTGGAGCAACACTGGCCATGGGAGTAACACATATTGTCGGTGCAACAAAGGAACAAGATCAAGAAAATCCAATTGCAAATAAGTCCAAGAAAAAAAAGCAAAGATGATGATGATCGGCACCACCTACAAGCGAAGCAGCAACTCATAAAGGAGATGAACAGTAATAGTAAAAAAGGCCTTAAGGCTCTAATACCATGATAGAATAAAGAGAAGAAAAATATAAAGATTTATGAAGAAAAAAACTCTTTCTTTCTTTTTTCTTTTTTTATTTCACTTAACATACAAGGTGCTTAATTAAAGGCCTGTACAAGAAAATATTCTATGGTACAAAATCAATTGACATAATTATATCAATCAATTATAACCTAATTATTTCATTGATCATTTTACTCGTTACATATGGCTCTACCCCATGAGAAAGGAATCTAATGTGTTTTTAATTTTTTCAAAATTTTAGTCTATGGTCGAAAATCAATTTGCTAACCGCATTAAATCATTTTATTCCGATGGTGGTAGAGAATATGTTAGTCTTCACAATTTTTTTGTTGAACATGGCATCTCACATTTTACTACACCTCCTTACACACATGAGCTCAATGGTATTAGTGAACGTCGTAATCGTCATATAGTTGAAACTACCTTGGCCTTATTGTTCACTACAAGTCTCCCAATGCAATTTTGGTCTTATGCAAACACCACTACGGTCTATCTTATTAATCAATTACCATCTTCTACTCTTTCTTTTATTTCTCCATTCCAAAAAATTTTTCGTGTTAAGCCTAACTACCTCAACTTACGTGTGCTTGGTTGTGCTTGCTACCCATGGCTTCGACCTTATAACAACAACAAACTACAACCAAGGTCTCGTCGTTGCTTGTTTTTAGGTTACTCTATTGAAAATCTTAGTTATAAATGCTTTAATCTTGAATCTCAAAAATTGTTTTACTCTAGACATGTTGTTTGTAATGAAAATTTTTTTCCCTATGCCTCTAACTCCAAGTCAATCCACTCTCTACATATAGAAGCTTGGTTCATGCCCAGTACTTGCCATCATAGGCTTGAGACACGTTCCTCTATCAGATCAACTGCCGAGCTTGTGAATTACCATCGTTCCCCAACGAATCTCTCATTAGTTTTTCCTCCTTGTTTGCCCACAAATACCCACTCGGCCCAACCCCCCAACCCATTCCCCTCCAGCCCCACAAATCCCAACCCAAGACGCTCCCAACCATCCCTATTGAAATCATCCTCACCACATCCGCCTCTCTCTTCACCCGCTTTTGCCTCTACTAGTGCCCTCTCGAAATCAGCTTCCCCTGTCGCACCTACCACTTACACTACCCCTTTAAACACCTCCATTGCCACCCATAGCCCAGCCAAGCCCAACACTGCCACCACCTCTACCTCCAAGCCATCATCTTCTCCGCTGCCACAGCCCGTTCGCCTTCACCCCATGGTTACCCAGTCCCACAATGAGATCTTCAAGCCGAAAACCCTCTTCCTTGCCACCAAACATCCTGGTCTTGACCCTGTCAAACCTTCATGTGTAACTCAGGCTTTGAAAGATCCAAAGGGGAAGCAAGCTATGTCCAATGAGCACATTGCTCTTGTTCACCAAGGCATGTGGGAATTAGTTCCTCCTTCTCCTACCCAGAACATAATCAGTTGCAAGTGGATTTTTTGGTTGAAACGAAAGGCAGATGGGAGTGTTGAGTGCTATAAGGCGCATCTTGTGGCAAAAGGGTTTGATCAGCAGTATGATTGTGACTATTTTGATACCTTTAGCCCAGTAACTAAACCCACCACCATCCGCACAGTACTCACCCTAGTTGTGAGTAATTCTTGGTCTATTCAGTAACTAGACATTAATAATTCTTTTTTGAATGGCTCTCTTGATGAAGAACTATTTATGCAACAACCGCTAGGCTTTGTTGATGAAAATTATCCTACTCATGTATGCCACCTACGAAAGTCTATCTATGGCTTGAAATAGGCTCCTCATGCCTGGTTCAAAGAATTGAAAGTCTTCATGCTTTCTTAAGGATTCATCAACTCCAGGTCAGACACCTCCTTGTTTATATCTCGAAATTCTAGTGTGGTTCTTTATTTTTTGGTCTATGTTGATGACAGCTTGATCATTGGTAATTTGATACTGCCATTGTTGCTTTGGTTGCTAGTCTCAGTGCCCAATTTTCTCTTAAAGATCTTGGTGGCTTAAGCTTGTTTTTAGAAATGGAAGTTGTGCCTACCCGTGCTAGGTTGTTCCTTACACAGCATCGGTACATTCATGATATTCTTCAAAGAGCCCACATGTAGGATGCTAAACCTATTTCTATCCCCATGGCTTCCTCGGTCTCCTTTCCTCCTGGCAATTCCTTAACTAATCCTATGACTTATCAGTAGATTGTTGGGTCTTTGCAATACTTATCTCTGACTCGTCCAGATATTACCTACTCTGTGAACAAGTTATCTCAATTTTTACATTGTCCTACTGAACTTCATTGGCAAGCAGTTAAACGACTTCTGCAATATCTTAAGGGTACCAGCCATCATGGTCTTCTAATTCAAACTAAATCAAGTCTTAATCTCCAAGGCTTTTCTAATTCTGATTGGGCAAGGGATCAAACCTCCTTTGTCTCAACTACGGGCTATGTTCTATTCTTGGGTTTAACTTCTATTTCTTGGAAAGCTACTAAGCAAAAAGCTATTGCTCGAAGTTTGACTGAAGTTGAGTATTGTGCCCTTGCTGCTACCTCATCTGAGATGGTATGGGTTCAAAATTTGTTGTTTGAACTTAGCTTCAACATTTCCTCTCCACCGACTCTCTATTGTGACAATCTTGGAGCCACTTATCTCAGTAGTAAACCGGTTCTTTACTCCAAAATGAAGCACATAGCAATTGATTTACATTTTGTCAGAGATTTGGTTGATAAACAAGTTCTTTGCGTTGTTCATATATCATCTCGAGATCAGCTGCCTGATGGTTTCACCAAGCCACTCTCTAGTACTCAGTTCTTCATTTACAGTCCAAGATTGGCGTCGCTGATGGCTCCTCCATCTTGCGGGGGCGTGTTAAGGAAAGTTCTACTAAATCCAAGCATAATCCTGGATAGTTCTCTATTCAATCTTTGATATGATTCTATGTATCTCTTAATTATTTGTATCTTGATTATTGCATAAGATTCTTTCCGTTTATGTAAGCTAGAACCACGTCTCTCCATTTTGTATATATTTTGATTGAATCAATAAGAATATTATCAAGCTTTCTCTTACAATACTCTGTTAAAACCAAATAAACAAAGGGTTCAATTGAAAGTTAGCATCTAAGATTGAAATGGAGGCGATATTGAAATCCATGGCCACAAAGAAATAAAAATCACTGCAAAATTCTAGTAAACACCAAAACCACGCTTCTTGGTTCCATCGATCAAGTAAAAATCCTGTTGCCGCTTCAACCCTCGTTCATTAAAGGCTGCTGCTTAATTTGCATATAGGATTCGACGTGGACTTAAGGTTCTCAAAGTGATCCAATTGCACAAAATCCCGATTGATTTCCACCATCACGTACTCAATTTCCAATTCACCAAGCAAGCCTAGTTCCCAAAGTCATAGACCCTTTGTGATCAACAAAACACAACAATCCGACCTCGTAGAGGTCTCATCACTATAAAAATTGAGATATGTCACTGCCTTGCGGTCTCTAGGGTTGAAGGTTCCAAAGCAAGATAGTCAACTATAATTAAAGAAGTAAAGGGGAGGCAGAAAGCAGGGGGAAGGACTCCTCTATCAGAGATAAAACCCAGGGAGGAAATCTGCCATCACTGCTCTCCAACCCTAAGAGTAATGCAAGGAAGATCACTTTTCATTTTAATAACACATTAGACGATAATATTTTAATTTTATCTTATTTCAAAAGAAATAGAAATACATTAAGAATTTTTCACTTAAGTGTAAGTAAAAATAAAAATAAAAAATAAGTCTTAATTACTGTAATAAATATTTTTTTTATAGTTGTAAATAAATAAAGTGAGATAATTAAATATGGAGGAGTTTGCAATAGTGAAATATATTGTGTGAATATGTAGGTTTATTATTATTATTATTTTTAACCTGTATGTTTATCCTCATTTTAAGAATTGTAGCTTAATGCTTATGCATTAGTAATGCACTTGTTGGAGTGTTCAAAGAACATTTGTATAAAATTAGTAACCGATTTAAAAATTGATATAAATTATACTATATAAATTAATAAATGACTCATAAAAATATTTAAAATTTTGCTTCTCACCTAACATAAATTCCTAATTCCATCCCTACTCTCATGATTTAATTAATTACTATTTATTTTTAAAGGTGCCTTTCAACCGTTGAGTTAGGCTTTAAGGATCTAAATCCATGAGAAGATATCATCTACAAGGATTTTCACGTGGAATTTCACTTCACTTAAAAATTGAATGTTATTATAGATTGATTTAGAGTTTTTGCTTTTATATAAAAATTCTCTTATGTAACTTTTTTGAAATTATCACTCAAGAAAATTAATTTCAGCCAATACTGACTCATTAACTAATTTAAAATTTTTACTCCAAAACCGTAGCCTCCCTTGCTACTTGCAGAGAAAGATTGGTCTCTTGTTGGAAGGGACAGAAATTGGGTGTTTCAGTGTAGGAGGAAAGTTGAGAGTTACCGTATTTTGGTGAAGTTGTGAAGGTGATGACGATGAGAGAGGAGAAGAAGTTTGACAGGTTTTATTTCATTTTGAATGAGATATTGAGTTTGATATGGATATTTGGGTGAAGCCAGATGAGAGTGAGAGAAGAGATGAAGTTTTGTTTGTTTGGGTTTTTTTTTTTTTTTTTTAAATAGGGTAAAAAAATGTTAAATATCAATTTTGGTCCCACAACTTTAAGATTTTACATAATTTTTATCCTTCAACTTTTTTTTTACATTTTTTTATCCCTTAACTATGAAAAATATACTTTTTTAGTCTTTCTATTAGTTAATCCGTTAAATTTATATAAATCTAAACATTTTTCGTCCCTCAACCTATGAAAAATGTGCATATATTAAAAGTTGATGGACAAAATATGTGTATATATTAGAAATTGAGAGACTAAAAATATACAAATTTAAATAAATTTAATGGATTAACTGATGGAAAACTAAAAACGTATATCTTTTTATAATTAAGGGATAAAAAAAGTGCAAAAAAAGCTAAGAGATGAAAATTATACAAAACCTTAAGTTGAGGGACCAAAATTAATATTTAACCTAAAAAAATGAGAAATATTTATATAGAATTACTGTAATTCAAACTTTAATACCAATCAAAGCATTAAATACACGAACAAATTAGCGTACAAGGCTTGGTGCAGAGTGGAGATGAAGTCTGAAAGCTTCCGAATAGAAAGGGTGGTTGGGACTTACGAAGTAAGTTCGCTTTAAACAAAATTTTCTATTATAAATTTAAGATTTATTGATAGGTAATTCAAAATTTAACCTATCAAAAATTACTTTTTAATGTAACTTTTTTAAGTAAATACTGAAAATAATTTAATATGTAAATTTTTTTAAATTTGTTAAAATCTTACTTTAAAAGGTTAATTTTTAAATTTCTCTTCAATAAATTTTTTAATTTATGTGAAAAATATACTTAAAACAAATTTACCCCACTTGTTATTTGTTAAGCTTTCCAAACGTCTTCGATCAAAAGCAATGTAATGATTGATTTTATTAAAATGTCTTTAATAAAATTCGTTGTTATCCTTTATTTACATTTTTTTTATCTTGAAATAATTATTTTTTATTTTTAAATTTATTTTAAATTAATTATTATTTTTTAAATAAATAAATATTTTTTAATTTTATTAAGCTTAAGTATTGGAAAAGAACCTCAACTTTTATTAAAATCTTAATTAAAGTCATCAATGTTTATTACGCTCAATCAAGGGCTTGAACTCATATAAACTCTTAAATAAGGACCCAATTGGATGAAATCTTAACCATTCATCAATTCTCAAGTGACCGTCTGTTGTAGTCCGTTATCCCTCAACACATGGCATGCCAATTAGACCCATAAGGCTGATAGTAAAAGTAAATAAATGTTTTCCAATGTGGAATGTTGGGTGGGATCCCACAACTCCTTTTTCTCCCATCTCTCTTCTACTTTCCTATTCCACGTTTTGGGGGTGAAATCCCTAGGATTTTCAGCCGGCCCCTCTTCGTGTCGGATCTTCTTCAATAAGTGAAAAAGAATAAAAAAAAAGTGGTAAATTAAATAAATTAACAAAACAAAAATAAAAAAATCATGTGCAATTAAGACAAATTCAAAAATCATAAAAAATATTAAAGTAATTCAACAAATCAAATAAAATTTCATGATCATACTTATATATTGTTAAATCCACACATAAATGTGAAAAAAAATTGTTTAAAAGACTACACTAAATAATAAAAAACCTCAAATTGACTTTTGAAAATTTCAAAAATCCTTTTCTATTTTTTTTTTTTTTTGAACGAGGTACAAATGAGGGGGTGGGGCTTCGATTCCCAACACTAAACTGGAGAGATGCAATTTAAAAAAAGTTTAAAACCATCGGACCACTAGATCAAAGTGCCAAAAATCCTTTTCTATTGATGCATTTATAGGCAAAAATTTTAAGTTTCTATATCATATTAAAGAGGTGTTGAATAGTCAAAGATGAAAAAGGAGAGTAGGAAAAGGAGTTTTGTGGGACCCATCAAGTATGTGGAGGAAAAGATACTGCCCAACATGCCACGTTGAAAATTTTTTGTTACTATTTAGCCTTGTGGATCCAGTTGGCATGCCATATATTGAGGGGTTACAGACCACAACAAACGGTCATGTGAGAATTGACGAATAGTTAAGATTCCATTCAATTGGATCCTTATTTGAGAGTTTATATGAGTTCAAGACCTTGATTGAACACAATAAACGTTGAGGACCTCAATTAAGAATTTAGTAAAAATTGAGATCCTTTTCCAATACTTAAGCCATTTTATTATTCATTCATTCATTTTAATTAATTATCAAATTATAAAAAATCTCTCTTTATTTTTTATTTTTTTAAATATTATAAATAAATATAAATATTATTTTAAAATTCTTAATTTAAAAAAATTATAATTATTTTAAAATAAAAATAATATTTTAATAAATAAATATTATTTTATTATCTAATTTACATTAAATTAAAAAAAAAAACCTCTAGTATTTGGAAAGTCAACCTAATTCAATACTTAACATTATAGAATTCCCAATTCTATACCGTCAGGGTTGCCAAACACTTTTGCCTTTTGGTAATATAAACAAGAAGTTTTTTTTTTTTTTTTTTTTTTGGAAAAAGGCAAGTTTTTCCATTGATCTATAAAGCATATGTACACTATACTCCCAGGCATACCCAAGGAAATATCAAAACTCTCAAAATTTTAGATTCAAAAAGGATTTTATCTTATTATATATAGAAATTTCATTGGCATGTTTCCTTTGAAATAACCGTCAATTTCGTTCCTGCCAAAGCCATCTTTAATTTCCTTTGTTCAAACTTATGGCCTCTACATGCGCTCCTTAGCCATCTCCACTCAACTGTCCAAGGCTTTGGTACTCTTTGTAAATTCAAAAACGCAAGCACCATTCTCCAAACTTCTTTTGCAAAGCTACACTCAAAAAATAAGTGCTCACAGATCTCCTCTGTGCTACAACAAAGAAAATAAGTCTGATTTATTCTCATATCTCTAGACACAAGTAAAGCTTTAGTTTTCAATCTTCCCTGCAAAACTAGCCAAAGGATAAAACTATGGCGAGGATATATACTCCCTGCCCAGACAATATTGTGCCATTTAACTCTTGGACGCTTCACATGCAAAAGATTATAACAACTTGAGACAGTAAACAGTCCACTGCTTGCAGGTTTCCAGACAACAAAATCCCTTACCTGAGTCAGTCTATGTTGCTTTATTAATTGAGCCAAGACCAGATGTCTTCTTACAAAACTATCTAGTATTATGCAATCTGAGCCATTCCACCATTGACTAACAGTAAGCTCATGACCCCAAGTAGCAATCTCAAATTTTTGCATCACATCACAGAATCTTCCATCTCCAGTCCATCAAT